ACTGTTGGATCTTGTCAGTCACAGAGCCCAGTATTAGACACATCTTAACCTGACCAGGTAACCCCCCAAAACTTGACTGCTCTGGCCCAGGGCCTTATACTTTTCTGTGGATTGATGGCACGTCCTTGCTTATTCAGATGAGAGCAGAGACTGTTCAAGTAAGACTCTTAACAGAAGTCTTCAGAGGTTAGCATCACATCATTGACATGATGGAACCTTTTAACTGTGAGTAGTGGTGGATATAAAGACAAATCATGAGCAGTCCTACCATGATAGATAGTGAGGCTGTGCAAATATCCTTGTGGCAATACCTGGAATGCCCATTGTCAACCATACCATGTGACTCAGGATGCAAAGGAATACTAAAGAAAGCATTGGGGGAGAAGGGGTGCCTGCTGGCTCAGTCAGTTCAGCCCTGACTCTTGGTTTCAGCTCAGGTCCTGATCTCAGGGTTGTGGGATTGAGCCCTGCATCAGACTCTGTGCCCAGCTGGGAGTCTGCTTGAGATTCTCTCTCTCCCTCTCCCTTTGCTGCCCACCCCCCACATGTGCTCATGTGTGCACGTGTGCTCTCTCAAATAAATCTTTTTTTTAAGATTTTATTTATTTGACTGAGCACAAGCAGGGGGCATGGCAGGCAGAGGGAGAGGGAGAAGCAGGCTCCCTGCTGAGTACAGAACCTGATGTGGGGCTCGATCCCACGACCCTGAGATCAGGACCTGAGCTGAAGGCAGATGCTTAACCAACTGAGCCACCCAGGTGCCCCTCAAATAAATAAAATCTAAAAAAAAAAAAAAAAAAAGCATTGGCTAAATCCAAAACCACATGGTAAGAGCCTACACCATGTACTATTTGTTCAGTGATTTGGGTAATATTAGGACAACCTTACTTAGTTCTCTATAATCCATGGTCATTCTCCAGGTGCCATCTGGTTTCTTCACAGGCCATACAGCACTATTATAGGGATTTTTTGCTGGCCTGATTATTTGTACTCTTGCTAATTTCCATATAGTGGCAGGTATTTCCTCAAATCCTCCTAACAACTAGTATTGCTTTACATTTATAACCTGGGGAGGGGTAACAGGATCCAAATTTGCCTCCCCCCCCTTTTTTTTTAAAGATTTTATTTATTTATTAGAGAGAGAGAATGAGAGATAGAGAGCACGGGAGGGAAGAGGGTCAGAGGGAGAAGCAGACTCCCTGCTGAGCAGGGAGCCCGATGTGGGACTCGATCCCGGGACTCCAGGATCATGACCTGAGCCGAAGGCAGTCGCTTAACCAACTGAGCCACCCAGGCGCCCTGCCTTTCCCCTTAAGACAGTTTTAATTACTGTAAATCGAAAGTGAAATTCTCCTACAGAGCTTTGTAGTAGTTTTTTCCCAGAAGAGTATCAATGACTAATATATTCTCCAGTATTGGAGAAATGAAAACCTCATAAGGAGCAGTTGGGCTTTTATTCTCAAGTGTGCTATTGTGCATTTCACCCTTATGCTTTTCTTTTCTTTTTTTTTAAGATTTTACTTATTTATTTGTCAGAGAGAGAGAGAGCACAAGTGGGGTGAGCAGCAAGCAGAGGGAGAAGCAGACTCCCCACTTAGCAAGGAGCCCAAAGCGGGACTCGATTCCAGGACCCTGAGATCATGACCGGAGCCGAAGGCAGACGCTTAACTGACTGAGCCACTCAGGCGCCCTAGAGTTTTTTTTTTAATACAAATTTTAGCAGTACCATCCACAGGTAGAAAATACTACATAACTATAATGCATACATATGGACACACAGAAACACACAGATACAGAGACTTTATAGCTTCTGTTTTAAAATTACTGCCATGAAATAGGTACAAAACTCACTCATGAATGTTGGATCTAAATTTGTTTTTTTGGTAGATGGAATAAAGTAAGGTAACCGGTCTAGATGGCTTAAGCTTTTTCCACTTGTATTTGGAGAAGATACTTTAGATTTATATGTCCTTTTAACAGAGAGAAAACCAAATTCTAATTTTTGACCAGCTTTTGATATTAAAACTCATTTTAACATAAATTCATTTTAATCTTAGCCAGCTTGACCACACATAAAATTCCTTTCCAAATACTCCTTTTCCACAGACCTTCTACAACTTTCTCCATTCTGATTTTGTCCTGTTTTTTTTCTCTTCAGACCACCAGATGCTCTTTAGGACAAAATTATTTTTTTATTCCTCAACAAAAAAGCATCTCCATTTTTCATACCTTCTCCTACTGAAAACACATCCTACTTACCTGGCATACAAAGATATTTCCCATGAGTTCCATGGTTTAGCATCCCAGGCTGGCTTCAAATGATGGTTGTAATCCAAAGTTGCCACACTTGGGGCGCCTGGGTGGCTCAGTTGTTAAGCGTCTGCCTTCGGCTCACGTCATGATCTCAGGGTCCTGGGATCGAGCTCCACATCAGGCTCCCTGCTCCGTGGGAAGCCTGCTTCCCCCTCTCCCACTCCCCCTGTTCCCTCTCTCGCTGTCTCTCTCTGTCAAATAAATCAAAATCTAAAAAAAAAAAGTTGCCACATTTTATGCCCCCCAGGGCGCACAAAGCGACAGATACACTGAAGACTCAATTTGTGCATCCTGGGTTTAGATAGTGTCTACCAAATTAGAAACCAAAAGAGATGTGAATAGTCTCCTGTCCTTCTTCAGTTGTAATTCTTTCTCCAACTGCCTTATTTCATTTCTGACACTAGCCGGGCATTGATGGTCACCTGAAGGGCCCATAGGAGCAGCCAACCCACCAGGGCCACTGCTTGGCGACCTTCCTTACCCCAGTGGGTCATGCAACTTTGGGCATTTTCAGGGTTCCCCATACTCATTCAGCAGTCCATAGGCATCAAGCAAACAGATTGTGCCTTCCCACATTAATGTGGTCAGCCACTCCAGGGTTTCCCCCAACAGAAGCTTCATTTCCTTGCCCATTCTTCAGTCTCTGGGCTCCTCCTGGCTGGCTCACCAATTGTTTTATGAAAGGGAGGTAATATGCAAAATGATATGCAAAGGCCGAAGGAGCCATAAGACTGAAGAAAAGGCCAACAAGTCCAGCTTGGCAAAAAATGGCTTGTTAAAGGAGCTTCTGGACAGAAGTCCCTCTTGGGCAGCTGCAAGACAAGTAGATCTCTGCAACTCCACCTCCTATAATACCTGCTTTTACAGCCCTAAAGGCTGAGGCGTACAGGCTGAGAGAGACCACCTGGGAAGGAATGTTTGAGAATCATAATCTCCAGAGCAGATCAAGGACATTATGCCCCAAGGGTGTGTCTAAACAGAAAGAATGGGGCAGGGAAGAATGTGCTCTAGAAGGCTTCAGATCAGAGTGGTCATGGCAGATTTGTCCAAGATGGCATTAGTCTGGTTCATACAACAGTGTAAACATAACTTTTATATGCACTGCGAAACCAAAAAATTCGAGACTGACTTTATTGTGATACTCACCTTATTGCAGAGGTCTGGAACAAAACCAGCAATATCTCTGGGATATGTCTGTATGTTTTATTGGCATAGGATGTTATCCACATGATTTTATTTCAGGATATAGCTCATATTTAAATATGAAGATAGTTCCTGGGACCCTAGATACCTACCTTATAAGCCTCTTCACTGTTCATTAAAATTCAAAGTGTTAATCTCCCCTCAATTCCCTTATCAACAAATGGTTATTGAATACTTGCTATGTACACAGAATGGTTTGTTTCTCTCAAAGATGTGGGACTAATTGAAGAGACAAAACTTACACAAACGCAACAAAGAAAAATGCGTTATGAAAGGATCACTCAGGCCAGAGAGGAACAGAAACTGGGACATCAATTACGAGATGAGCTCATTCATTCATTCAGCAAACCTTTACTAAGGACTTTTCTATGGATGTAAGTCAATTTGTTAGTCCTCACAGCTATAAAGACAGATTAGCCAGTCTTGGCTCTCAGAGTTTACAGTCCAGCTTTTGAGGGGACAGATAAAAGATTGGAGTATAAAATGGTATTACTGGCACAAGGAACAGTAGGAGCAGAAAGTTGAGAAGGGGATAATCAGGAGAGGATCCATAGAGTTGACATTTCAGTGATGTTTGGGAAGTAGACTAGGTCTTTTACCAGGTGTTTACTGAGCTATTGCAGTAGTTCAGGTGAAAATAATAAGCCAACAGGAATGAAGGCGGCAACAGATTAAACTGGTGTTCCAGCAGCAGAATGGCTGATTTTTGATAACTTCCCTGTAGTCTTCTTGGTCAGCAAGAACTCTGAAGACTGCCAGGGAGATGGCGATCAAGGGAAGAAAGCAAGGAGGAGGAACAAGTGTGGGGAGGAAAGATAAGTTTTGTTAGTTTGAAGTATTTGCATGACAATGACATTCACATATAAATGCCCAGTAGGTAGAACTAAAGCCTGGTGCTCAGGTCCAGACAGGACATACCGGTTTTTGAGTCCCTTAAACAGACTCTGGAAATACCGGAAGTTGTACAGAATTAAGGCAGCAAAGTTACCCCAGGTCCTGTCCTTGGCTGTGATGGAGAAGAAAATGGAGAGCTTCGTTGTTGAAGCTACTTTTAAAATCAGCCTTTAATTCTCCAATTTTGGAACTAAGTTCTTTGACTATGTTAACAGTTACTTTTTTAAAATTACCTAATAGTAAGTCTCATTGCCAAATTTTCATTTCTACTTTTATTTCTATACAGAAGAAATATATTTTAATACCGCTTTGTTCACTTACTATAACAACTACCTTTCACCTTAAAAAAAAAAAAACAAAAAAAACTACCTTTCACCTTAAAGAAATTTAGTAGATGGAAATGCGATTCTTATATGTAGTAAATAGGGAAACTTCTAGAAAGCCAACTTCTAAAGGAGAAGAAAATACCAATTGGTACTGAGTTATCCAAAAAGAATATTTTTTCTTTATTGAGTTTTAATTAACACTTTATTAATTTCAGGTATACAGTGTAATGGTTCGATATAAGAGTAATTTCTTTTTAATCCCAGGAATGGAAGATTGTGAAACAATGGAAGATGTATATATGGCTTCAGTGGAAACAGATCGGGGAGTAAAGGAACAGTTACATCTTTATGACACCAGAGGCTTACAGGAAGGCGTGGAGCTACCAAAGCATTATTTTTCATTTGCTGATGGCTTTGTTCTTGTGTACAGTGTGAATAACCTTGAATCCTTTCAAAGAGTAGAGCTTCTGAAGAAAGAAATTGATAAGTTTAAAGACAAAAAGGAGGTAAGTGGGTCTGTTAAAAATGCTAACTATGAATAGTAATATTTAAATTGTAGCATGAACTTTTGGGCAGTTACAATATTTAAAAAACATTAAATTGTATTCACAGTATGTGTAATCTTCATATTTTTTCTTAGCCCAGGAAATACAGGATTGAACGAATTCAGTCAGGACCAGCATTTGACTTTCTGCTTTTGCTTGTTACCATGTGCAAGTTGAATTTTAATGACACTGTGTCTCAAATACTATGTAGTTCACTTCATATTGTTTGGGATCGCTGTTTCCTAGGGCTCTCTTTGTCTCCTTGGCTAAATAGGATTCTTGTTTTTGGCCTTAGCAGAAAATAATAAATATAAATATAAGTATATATAAATAAATAAAATGATTGGAATCTCCTCATTTACTACTGAGAAGTAAGTTCCTTACCGTGATCTGTAGCCTTAAATGATCTGGCCCATACCTATCCTTTTCATCTTATCTTTATCAGTTTGTTCCTCTGTCACTGTACTCCAGGGACACTGGTATACCCTTTGTTTTATTCAACGTGATGATTTTGTTTATTTGAACCAGTCAATTGCTGGTTCCCTCCCTGGAACTCTGAAAGCAGCTCTTTTCTCCAGATCTTCACACAGCTGACTCCCTGTCATCTAGGGAACCACGTAATATATTGGTGAACAGCACTGGCTAGATGTTCTTAACCTAGATTTTTATATCTTATTTATTATGTTAAACTTCTTATTTTGAGACAATTGTAGATTCATATGCAATTTTAAGAAATAATAGAGATCTCTTACCCAGTTCCACCAGTGCTAACATTGTACAAAACTAGTATAATGTTACCACAAAGATATTTAGGTTTATAGTCAAGATACAGAACGGTTTCGTCATTGCAGGGATCCCTCCTGTTATCTTTTTTTGCCACACGCACTTTCCTCCCATTCCCCTCCCCTTAATCCCTGACTAATCTATTTTCCATTTCTATAACCTTGTCATTTCACAAGTGTTAACGCAAATGGACTCATACAGTGCGGAACCTTTTGGCATCAGCATTTTTCACTCAGCGTAACTCTCTGGAGGGTCATCCAAGTTATTGCATGTATCAGAAGTTCATTCGTTTTTATTGCTGAGTGATATTCCATGGTATTTATGTACCAAAGTTTCTTTAATCATTCACTTGTTGAAGGACATCTGGGTTGTTGATATCTTATTATTTTGAATACTTATTTGCTTTGTGAATAGATTACAGTTACAAGGTTCAGTCTTCCAAAAGACATAGAGGCAGGTAATGGATGCTCTCCTCCCACCTGTTTCCCATTTTTCCCACCTAAACAGATAAATGCTGTTGTTATTTTCTAGGGTATCCTTCATATTCTCCTCCCTGCCCCCCAAAAGTTGAAAGAATGATTCATTGAACACCCATATTTGATACTCGAATCTTGGCTCTGCTTCTCAACTTTTCTGCCTCAGTTTGCTTAACCATAAAATGGGGATAATAGTACCTTTCTCATATGGTGGTTAGGGAGATTTAAGAAGCACATTCATTCAACAAATGCTTATTGGGCAACTACTATATGCCTGGCACTGTTTTAGGTAAAAGGTACGGAGAATACAGTAGACAAATGTATATCGTGAAGAGTCAGATGCTATGTAGAAAAGTAAAGGAAAGCAGGGTGCAAGGGTACTGTTTTTCTGTAGGGCAATCTGGGAAGGCCTCCCTGATAAGGTAACTTTTAGCAGAGATTTGAAGGAAGTGACGGAGGGAGCCAGGCCCGTGTGGTGGAGGAGTGCTCCAGGTGGAGGGACTAGCTGGTGCAAGGGTCTGGGAAAGTTGGCTTTGTCACGTTCAGGAACAACAGTGAGGCCAGAGTGGGCTAGGAGGAGTATGGTAGGAAATGAAGGCCACACTTTGGATCAGAAGCCGTTGGTTTTGAGCAAAGGAAAGACATGATCTAGCTTAGGTTGCATTTATTTATTTATTTTCATGTTTGATTTATTTATTTATTTATTTATTTATTTTTAAAAGATTTTATTTATTTATTCATGAGAGACAGAGACAGAGAGAGAGAGAGAGGCAGAGGGAGAAGCAGGCTCCCAAGGAGCAGGGAGCCCGATGCGGAACCTGATCCCAGGACTCTGGGATCATGACCTGAGCTGAAGGCAGACACCCAACCGTCTGAGCCACCCAGGCGCCCTTCATGTTTGATTTAAAAAAAACATTGGATAATGATTGCACATGGCTCAGAAGTAAAAATGATATATAAAAAGGACTATTGTGAGGTCTAGTTCCCACCCCTGTCCTCAACCACTGAGTTCCTTTATCTCAAGCATACTATTCATTTATTTTTTTATTCATTTATTGATTGATTGATTGTAAACTCAGTGCCCAACATGGGGCTTGAACTCATGACCCTTAGATCAAGGGTCACATCCTACACTACCTGAGCCAGCCATGTGCCCCTCAAGCATGCTTTTTAAATATTTTACCACTTGTTTTGGGGCATCCTTCCAAAGTTTCTTTAGATAAGTACAATCAAATAGGAATATACATATAGTTTCCCCCCACCCCCCTTTCTTACACCAAAGGTAGCATAGTGTTTGGCACCTTGACATTCATGTAATATATCTTGGGAGTCCTTTCCATAGCAGTACTCAGATTCCTTTTTTAAATTTTTTCTATTTTTAATTTTTTTTAAGATTTTATTTCTTTGACAGAGAGAGAGAGGGAACACAAGCAGGGGGAGTGGGAGAGGGAGAAGCAGGCCTCCCACTGAGCAGGGAGCCCGATGTGGGGCTCCATCCCAGGACCCTGGGATCATGACCTGAGTTGAAGGCAGATGCCTAACAACTGAGCCACCCAGGTGCCCCTAGATTCCTTTTTGTAAAAGTGATGCATATTCATTGCGTGGATGATCATACTTACTTAACCAGTTCCAAACTGATGGACACTTGGGCTCTTTACAGTCATTTGCTATTATGAACTGTGCTACAATGAATAATCTTACATATTTATTATTTTGTATGTTTTAGGGTATAGTTGTAAGGTCAGCCAAAATGGGGTTTTTGAATCAAAGGATATATTGCCAAATTACCTTCCATAACAAGGGTATGAAAGTGCCTGTTCTCCAGTCTTGACAACAGTGTGTGCTTGTGGATTTTGTGCATCTTCTGGGTGAGAATGGTACTTTAGTAGTTTGTTTCCTTAATATGAATAAGGCTAAACATCTTTTGACTTGTTTTAAAATGTTCGTTTTGGCTGCTGTGTTGACACAGACAACATAGTTGAGGGACAAGGTGAGAAGCAAGTTTTGTGAAATGCTATTGCTCTGGAGCACTTAAACAGTTACCAGTTGAGGAGAAACCACTTTAAAAATAGGGAGTGATCTAACTATATCATGGTGCAGGTAGGTCAGAAAAGCTGAGGGCAAAGACGTGGACAGCCTTTAGAAACTTGGGATGCCTTTTTTTTTTTTTAAGATTTTATTTATTGATTCGAGACACAGAGATAGAGTGAGCGAGCACGAGCAGGTGAAGAGGCAGAGGGTGAAGCAGGCTCCCCGCTGAGTCAGGAGCCGGACGTGGGGCTCAATCCCAGGACCCTGGAATCATGACCCAAGCCGAAGGCAGATGCTTAACCATCTGAGCCACCCAGGCGCCCCGAAACTTGGGATGTCTTAAGAACACAGTAAAACAGTGAGATGAAGTTTGATTGGACTGGATATAAGGATTAGACACAGCAAAGATAGCTCTTTGAAAGAATTTTGAGTCAAAGGGTAAATATATTGTCCTATAAAGGGAAACAGAGGAGCTGGAGAAGGAGGTATAAAAGAGGGCTTTTTTAGACGAGAGCTAGTGTTTGCATGCTCATGGAATGATTCGATAGAGAGGAGAAAATTGATGGGGAGGGGAATAATTGTTAGAGTGACAGTCTTGTCTAGGGTCGAGTATGGGTTCTAGAAGACGGTAGGTTGTTAGATGTGGTGGTGGATGCAGGTGAAAGTTTAAATTGGTTCTGTTTTCTTAGTGAAATAGTATGGACATCGGCTGAGAGTAAGGTGGGGGAAAGAAGAGATGTTGGAGGTTGAAGAGGTTCAAGGTAGGAGCCGTTAATATATTTGCTGAACACCAGCTCACTTATAGTCAGTGGTTATTGAACTGGGACCAGCCAGGAGGGCTGTTTTTTTCCCTCCATCCATGTTCAGTAGGTGGTGTAGGCACAGTCCAATTAAGAGTTAAATTTAAGGTGGGGGGTTGGCCAGGTGAATACAATGGGATGATGATGTCAAGGTAGTAAATTAAGAGAATCTAAACTGGGCCAAGAACTGAGGTCAGGAGAAGGGTTGAAGGACAGTGATCAAGGTAGGAGAGACAGTGGGTTGTAGGTCCTTCTGGTGTTGAGGATTGTTGTAGTCAGGGTGTTACACATGAACTAGGAAGGTAGGGGTGGGAGTGGGATTCCTGGAATTGGGACTAGGGAGGGGAGCAATTATAATGGCAGGAGTAGATGTGTTCATGGGAGTGAATGGCCGAAGAAGGCAGGAGGATGATTAAGGCTATTTGGGAAGGGTCATCCATATGGTTAGTGAAGTCACTAGGACTTAACGATAGAAGTAGTGTGGGAGTGACCATGAGCCAGGTCTGTAATGAGCAGCAACAGGGTGGGGGTGGGAAACAGGTAGTAGGTAGTACAGACTAATAGTACCAGCCTTCAGTTTTAGGGTTCTTAGAGGACATTATTGGAGGCAGCACTGAGGGACAAGGATACCCCTTACATCCCCTGTGCCCACTGTGGTAGTGAGTACTACAGAGCTGAGCCAGTTTCAGCTAGGAAAGATGAAGGGAACATCCAAAGCAGAGATGGGGACGTAAGAAGGGGATTTTGTTAAAGTCTAGGGGCAACATGGAACAGTTTCTGCAACTGGATCAGACTAGGTGATAACATGTAAAGATGAAAATGTGGGTAATGAATGACAGGAGGACCTAAAGGGATAGATCCTGTTGAGAAATGAAAGAATATTAGACTTGCCAAGAAAACCAGAGCTCTGGGGCCTGTTCCATCCTACCTAGCAGGCATGGTCTAACTGGAGCACGGAGAGCTCCGTTTTAAGGCAGGAACACAGCAACGGCTTAAATGTCCTAGTTCAAAGCTGCTCCTCAGAGATGCCTTCTCTAACAACTCTTAACTGCCCTTCTTCTACTTTCCGTATCTTGTTTTGTTGTCTTCTTTATACAGTCAAGGGTCTGAAAATTAGATACTCTCTCTCCTCCAGACCTCCCCTCGTCCTGGGCTTTGACTGCCTTGTGAGTGCCATATTCTGGGGGCCTGAAACTGCATGGTGTGCAGTTAAGCACCCAGCTTAAGTGAATGTGACTGCCTTACATTTAGTGTAAAATATTCCTATGGGTCCATACATTCAACAAATGTTTAGTGCTTGCATCAGGCACTTGTCTGTGATCAGGAATAATGTGAACAGACTTGAGTGACTTCACTTACTGATCATTTAAAATGTTTCCTAGTTAACACGCTGTACAGCATCTGCATTTTTAACAAAAATGCATTCAGGAAGAATGAGGTTAATGTCCTACTAAGTTATAACATAGGTCACATCTGAGGATCAGTTTTGAAGCAGCAGTTATATTCAGTAGGACAGTTTTCTTGATTTTTCTATTTTGCCTAGGAACTAATGTTGGCAAAGTGTAATCTTTTTTTATTTTCCTTTCAGGTAGCAATTGTCGTACTAGGAAACAAAATTGACCTTTCTGAGCAGAGACAAGTGGATGCTGAGGTGGCACAGCAATGGGCAAGAAGTGAGAAAGTACGCCTGTGGGAGGTAACGGTTACAGATCGGAGAACTCTGATTGAGCCATTCACTCTCTTAGCCAGCAAACTTTCCCAGCCCCAGAGCAAATCGAGCTTTCCTTTGCCTGGGAGGAAAAACAAAGGGAACTCTAGCTCCGAGAACTAAAAATCAGTAATGCTACAACTGTCTGTTGAATAGTGATTGCCTTTAGGTGTCCGTGAACATATTTAAAAACAAGCCATTTGCATCTACCTTTGGTCCTTAGGAAACCTTTAAGGAAGTAATGTACTTTAGGTTATAAATTATTTGGGCTAAGTTTATTGCCTGATATGAAGTAATATATTTGCATTGTCATTGTTTGAAACTGGTCCCTGAACTTGGCACCTAAATTTTTGTTGCACTTGTCCAAAGAGTAAAATAAAGTTTGGGTAGTATGTAGATATGTCTGTAAGACCAGTAGCTCCACAACCCCCAACTTGTTTCAGAAGCCATTTTTCTGTGTAACTTTATGCAAACTTCTCTGCTCAAATATAACTTTAAGTTCATTAATCATCTAATGTCTAGAATTATAAAATGACATTTTTAGATCACAAACAGTAAACAATTTAGGTGTTAAATTTTAGCTCATGGAGACCTTGCTAAATAAATAGAACAAAACCTATGATTTAACTTTGTTCAAATTATATGTTTAGCATGACTTGAGATAGTAGGTGGTGTAAATATGTTCAAAGCATTTGCTCTTTAGAAAACCACTAAGCATTGAAGGACACTAAAGCTTCCATTTCCACAGGTATTACTATACCTCTTCAACAGTTTTCTGGATACACAGTCATGTGGAATAAAATGTATCATAAAAATATTGGACTTCAGGTTAGATACTGGAGTTTGTGCTATGGTATTCTTTGAAGATTTTGGCAATATCCGAGCAGTGGGACTAACTGTATTTCACAAGTTGACGATATTGTAACTAATTTTAGAAGTAGGAAGCAAGCTGCTTAGGATTTCAACTGGCAAAGCAGCTTTTTTTTTTTTAGAAGTAGGGGCAGGGAGCAGAGGGAAAGTGAAAGAATCTTAAGCAGGTTCCGTGGCTGGATCTCACAACCCCGCGATCATGACCTGAGCCACAATCAAGAATCGGATGCTTAACCACCTGAGCCACCCAGGCACCCCTCAGCTATTTGATCTATATGTAAAATATGAAATAAGGTGTTCAGCCAAGACGTTAAAAAATCTAGTACACTTTTTTTTTAAGTAAACTCTACCCATGGGGCTCACAGTCAGGACCCCAAGATTAAGAGTCTCTACCAACATTTCTTAAGTGGAGTACTTTCAAGGCTAGGTTCAGTGACTTTAAAGTCAATTGGTTCATTTCTGTGAGAGTTCAAACCAAGAACTACATAATACAAAACTGTAAATCAGCTAGTATTGCTTCCATTTAAATGGCTAAAATTCCTCATCACAAATACATTTTTTTGCCAAAAAACTATTCAGATAATGGTTAAGTCATTCCCTGAGGTTGATCTCGGTCTCTTTTAATTATTTTTACAGAGATGAATAAATACTTTTACAGTGATTTAAAAAAGTTTCTCTGGAGTAGATGCAAAGAAACAGAACTGCTGGATATATGCAAACTTAGGTACTGCCAAATTGCCCTCTCAGGGAGATGTATTAATATAGTCATGAGAATCCATCTCTAACCTTTTCTAAGACACCTCAAAAACAGAGTAGCATACCAAACCTAACTAGGTCCTTGCTCATTATTCAGTCTGTATTACTTGTAGGTTGTGTAGTAGCAAAGCTTTACCAAGTTTAGAAGAATCTGCAAACTACAAACACAGGCAAAAGAAAGTAAATGAATACAGCAGTGTTAGGTGGTTGTTTTAATATTGTTTATTAGCACAGTAACAAATGCAGACTTAAGTAGTCCACAACATATAACCAATCCACTGAGCAACTCCTATTCCACACCTTACAGTTAACAGCTTAAGGTATTTTACTACAGGTTTTCACAAGTCGTGATTCAAACCTCTTATCTTGTCACAATAAAGTAGATTGGCATATAAAATAAAATACATAACTACTCATTTCCTATATGGTGTCTTATAGCCACGTATCCATTTTATATATGAGATGACAGTCTCTAAAAACTGTTAAATATCAATGTTCCCTCCCAAGAAGGGAAAACAAATTCCAATTTTTTTGAACAACAAAAAAAAATGTGTAGTCTTGGAAGGACTTTACATAAATGGCCATGTGTGTAACCTGTACAAAATTAAGCTATTTTAAATTTACAGACTACAAGCAACTGAACCCAAATGTCTATTCTCTGTACTACATTTCAGCTAATATTGCAGAACTAATGACAGTTTTAAAAGTTGCTATTACCAATTCTGTCTACTGTAGCAAGATACCTTAAGTTACAACAAAATCTTAGGAAATAAGACTGAATAATATCTGTTATAGAAATACCCTACTCTTTACCAACTCCCACCCTCCCCCACCCCTTCAAAATCATAAGCAGCTCTCTCTGTGACAGACAATGTAAGAATTGTGAAAACCCAATTTATGTAGCGTATCTCTTGGTCCACTGTCTGGCCATTCTGTCATGTTCTGCTCTGTTGGTCATATACTGAGTGGCAATACTTCCCACCAAAGGGTCAGCTGGAAGAAAAGAATGTTTTAAATTTTAGCACATAAATCAGTGACAGCTTGGAAAGAAATATGCAAAGTATTTGTGATCAAAACCAGTTTTGAAACACTATTCCATTATCACGGGCACCATATGCATGGGGAAAACTTAAAACAGAATGCTCAGGCTTTAGTACTAGTGTAGCTTTATTGTTCAGTCTATTTTTCTCCCAACAAACACCACCCAGTTGGAAATGTTTTTGCTCTTATGTGTTAAGTTCAATAAAAACCAGAATGTTCAAGGCTACGATGAACATGGAATCCAACTGTGTTTACGTGACTGTTCAGTGGAATACTGTAAAGTCTTCTAGGCTGTTGCAGTATTTACCTCTAAACTAGTTACTTAAAAAAAGCCAGGTTACTAGGTCAAAACCTGGACCTCAACAATTAAGTAGAGTGTTGCTCCGAAACCTAAATAGAATCTTTAATGATAAAAGGAATAAGCTTCCCCCCCACCCCACCGCAGTCAGTCTGATAATCCCTAACTATTAAGCAAAGAAATCTCACTTTCAAAATTTAACACCAGCTTTGGGGCAAGTACTCAGTGAACCAGCAGGCACGGGAGAGGTTAGGCAGATGACTTAACATTTAGTTAGAAATATGTGGTTTAAAGAGAACTGTATGAAAAATGTAAAAACCTAAGGCAAATTTATAGAAGTCCTAGTTTTAAAACATCTTGTTCCTAGAGCCTAGAATTACTGCCTTTTTCAACTAGTAGATTGAACTCGATTAAAACTTTCTTTGAAAAAAGATTAAATCTTAAAAAAAAAAAAAACCCTATTTTTTCATTTGAGAAAAAGAATATGAGCAGGAGGGGCAGAGGGAGAAAGACTCCTAAGCAGGCCCCAACACGGCCTAATCCCACAACCTGAGCTGAAAACCAAGAGTCGGACGCCCAACCGACTACTTGTACATCCAGGTACCCCTACTTTTTGTTCTTTCAAAGCTCTTTGTACTTTATCAAAACAAGTATTTTTCCGATGAGGAGAAAGAAGAAAAAAAAAATTAACCTTACCAGGATTACAGTCTGTAAGAAGGGAGCAGATAGAAAGGAGAACTTTAGAAATGGTTAGTGCTGGACTCCAATTATCTTTTAATATGTCCAAGCAAATAACTCCTTGACTGTTAATATTACAGTGATAGATTCTTGTCCGAAATGTAACCTAAAAAAAAAAGACAGTGTCAAAATTTAAACAGCAAACAATGAAATTTTTACTAGATTGCTTTTTCAATTGAGTGGCTGTAATTTAAAAATGTCTGTTTCTTTAAAAGATGAATAAAGAGTTTAAACTAAAGCTGTTAAGACAGGTTAAGATACACTCTCAGTCATTTCAAAGGTAATATCCATCAACAAAAAGCATGGTAACTTCAGTTTTTTCTCAAATTCATCTTTAGTAGTTTCAGTGTTTCAAATACTTTTTAAGTTTGAAATAGCTAAGTGTTTGCTGACCTCTTGTGTTAGCTGCTGGTACTACATGGCCTTAAAAAAAGCTTTATAATAAATTCAAACAGATACAACACAGTGGGTACATAAACACAAAAGCAAAATGCTCAGCTGTAAAGGCTGTAAAAAAAAAAAAAAAAAAGGAAGAAGAAGAAGATATTTGGTTCTGCTTTTTCTGACTTTTACATTAGATCCTGCAGATATCCCATCTATGTAGGTCACAGAGTCACTATAATGGAGTTCCACAAGTGAGAAGCCATAAATGGGTAAGGATCATAGCAGTAGACAAATTAACACAAGCCATATAAGCCTGGGTTGCTTTATTTTGGTTTCCTAATTTTTATTTGTGAAACACAAAGAATCGTTCAGAAGTAAAAATTACCACTTAGTAAATAAGAATCATAGATTGAGTGTCACAGGAGATACTATCCTAGATAAGAAAACCCGAAGCCTGGAGGTTAAGAATTTGAACAAGACCAAAACATGACAAGGGGCAGAATCCAAGTCTTTGGTAGGAGATTCTGACTTTCTAATTACTTTAGTGCAGATATTTTGACACCATTTTTAACTGTTCAGTAACTTCTTCCCTGTGAGTGGAAAAGAGGGGATTGATTCTGGGTTGCTATGTTACTAAAAATAGGAGGATTTTAAGCACATACTCCTAGAACTATGGTCTCTCTGCAAGAGGCAAAGCCCCCTCCCCCCATGCAAATGTTTTGTGTCCATCCAAATGTACTTAGAGATTCGTTAAGATAAAACAGAAATCTACCTTTTGTGATTAAAACTCTAATTTAAAAGCTTCAATAGTCTCTCATGGCAATATGTAAATTTGACTATAAATCAGGAAATTCTTACCTTTGGAGGCTTGAAGGGGTATTCTGGTGTAAAAGTGATATCAAGGAAGAATACACCACCCTCATACACGGATCCTGGAGGCCCCAGAATGGTTGATCTCCATTCATAGATGTTATCACCTTTGGGACCAGCACTGTGAAGTAATACATCAAAAGGTAAGCAGATGGTGGCACCATCCAAGTTTTTATAGGGCATTAAAAAAAAGGAAAAAAGATCTCTTCTCTTCCTTTTTGTTTAATGTATGGATTCCCTCCACAAAACAGAAGTGTCTTTCAGACTCAATCTGATTCTGGACTGCGACAAACCCATCAGCCTGAAGTCAAGTAAACTGAATGATAAAGAATGTTTAAACCACTCTAAGCCTACTTAAGCTGTGAATAAGCAAGAAATTCAATTCTCAAACCTCTCCTCGATCATAAGAAAATGTAAATATTCAGTGGTTTTGCTCACAACTAT